GTGATGACAAATCGCAGAACATATTCTATACGTTTTTTCATCAACTTTTAAAGATGTTGATGACAAAGATATTAATGATACATTATGCATTTTTTGTTGTAATTCATTCCATAATTGTAATTGTATACACAAATATTGTCTTGTACTAGATACGTTCATTACATTCGAATGGTTTCCTCTGATCCTACAATTATTACAATTAATTTCAAGTATTGTTTCTTGGCTAAATTCATTAAATAATGAATTTAATGTAACTTTATTCTCAATAACTTCTAGAGGTAATATATAGTTGGGCGTTTTATTGGTTCTAACATCATAGCAATTTAAACATGTTAATATCGATATTAATTCATGTTTAGTTAGAGAAGCGAAAATGCACAATGTTTTGCAACAATATATATAATTTGCAAGTCCAGTGTGTCGTACGCGAGGTACGAATATAATTTAATACGGAATATTTTAACAGCGATGATTGCCAATAATAATGCGTAGTACGTAGTAATAGGTACTGAACGGTTTATAAATTATTGGTCAGTTAAACGCGAGGTGCGAACACAGTTTAAAACGGAATATACCGGACAAGTCCAGCATCAGCCGTACACGCAGTGGGAATACTGCGAACACTAATTACGAACTATATACTTACGTAACCTTATAGCTCGTATTTTCACGAACACTAATTACTTTAATGCGTAATTAAATAATGACCAATAACGACACGTAACATAAAAAGCATGTACAGCGTAAGTCCAGCGTCAATAACTAAAAGCTACGAGACAAATAGACAACATGTAATGCACTATGCACGTATTTTAAAAGGTTTAATATTAGATAAGACAGACTAGACAATAAAACTATTAACAAACAATTATTTACAATATACTATTAAAGCAATAGGTAGGTACTTATAACGATTAATAATTGTTTTTTTTTCTAGTTTTTGAGCTTTTGTATCCATGTGTTAATTTTTTTTTTAATAATAAAACTGTAGGTACATCTTTATTTATGTACCTATATTATTATTTATATTGTCTATTTTTTACGACCAAATATGATATCGAATGAATTGAACTGAGTTTGGCAGAGCCGTGACCACAAATGTTCAATGGTTGTCTGGATGGATGTCATAATCCATAGTCAGGCTTTGGATTTGATAGCACTTGAAATTTGCAAAATTACGTGTTATGTTATTACTTATAATATTGCTACATATGTGCTAAAAACATGCAAGGTTAAAAACAACA